GCTAAAGCTCCCTGCAAAACAGTAGACGGTAGCATGGAAGCACATTAGACCAATTAACTGGGATGTCCCGTAAAACCATGACCCTAAAACTCCAAATCAAGGAACTAAACCCCATGAGGTGTTTGGTCGTACATAAGCAGCCTCAGCAGCTTTTATTTTGTCATTGTTGTAAACAAATCATACTTGTTACCAATTCTTTACTAATGTACAGCTTATTGGCAATTACAATCATCAGCTGTGCAACCCTACTCTTAATGTGATTTTCTACCATTAACCCCTCGTTCCCTCTGCCTCCCATTCCTGGTAATCACTAATCAACTTTGATCTCCATAATGTGCCTTTTCTTAATGTTTTTGTGACTGGCTTATTTTGCTCAGTGTAATGTCAAGACTTCTCCTACTGTGTTGATAGTGCTTGACAGGTACCAAAGATCTTTAGATTTTAAGCTTTTCTATGGGAGATTTGTTTAAAAACGAAAAAAAAGACTCATAAAGTCTAGTTAACTTGTTACATTTTGTGTACCCAATGTCTTGCACTAACAAATATTAGATGTATGTGGAAATGGTCAAAACATAAAACTTGTATTTGAGGAGCCTCTAGAAAATGAGGCCATACATTGTGAGTTAAATGTTTAATTTTCAATATAATTTATTTTAAATAAACTGTTTCACACTGATTATTTATACTGAATTAGCAATCTGGTCAATTTTAAGAACTGTTGACCGTGAATGGGCTATGCACAGGAACTCTGCCCCAACAACTGCTTCCTCTCCTCCCCAACTGTGTTGACAGCTGGGTAAATCACTTCTGTGTTTTCTCAAGGCTGGGAAAAGACAAGTCCTCCCTTGGGAGAACTAGACTTTCACTTACTATTCCCAAGTTACTAAGTGAAAATCACTTAGCTGCAACCAGCCTCCAAATTATCCAAATCCAGCATACCAGGCCACTATGACTGGGACAAATTTATTCCCATCACACTTGCTACTACTACCCATATTCTCACCGAGTATTACACCTTCTCTGTAATGTAGCCACTTGGAAACGCCTCCTTCAATTCCAGAAATCTGGTCCATACTTCCAAAATATCTCCTATCCTGTCCCACTACTATTACCATGTAAAATCCCTGGCAATCTAGGAATCATTCATTCAGTGAATAGCTATGTGCCATGTATTTGGAATACGACCTTCACACAAAACAAAGCTCCCCATCTTCGGTTGTTTTAGGAGGAAGTATACAACTAATCCACGCTAAGTAAACCATGTTAGTTGATGTTAAGTAGATTCCTGGTCATTGAGCCTGTGTATACAGACAACTGCTCCACAAGGTTTTCAAATCTATGACCTTCTGGAAGATCACCAGGCCTAGCCCCGGAGATGCCTTCGAGTTTGAACCACCAATCTTTTGCCAGTAGCATTTAATAACCATTTCTGCCACCCAAGTATCAACCAAACTGTAAAAACACTAAAGTACAAATACTGTATTTGTACCATGGTTATGTGCTTGGCTGCTAACCAAAACGTTCGTGGTTTAACTCACCAACTGGTCCACAGGACAAGTATGTGGCGATAGGCATCCATGAAGATTTACAGCCCTACTGGGCAGTTCTACTCCAACCTATATATAGGGTCACTATGACTAAATGGCAATGTGTTTTTAATGGGGAAAAAAAAGTCAAGCAGGGCAAGGGTATGCTAGGTTGAGTAGGGATAAAAGGCCTCCATTTAAAATAGGGCAAAGTGAACTTTACTAAGGTGCCATTTAAACATAGACTTGAGAGTTAATCACAAACTCAGCTGGGGAAGCAGTCCAGAGAGAAGACAACACAAACACTTGAAAGCATTAGGGAGTCAAATGTGGCTACAGTTAACTACAGGACACGTATGAGGCAACATTAAAGATTGGGCGGGTTGAGTTTAAATTTTTTTCGCAGGACTTCAGACTACTATGGTCTGCCTCATGTTTCCAAAAAAAGCATGTGGTTGCTATGTAAAACACAAAGGGGGTGGAGGTGATCAGCTAAGCAGCTATTGCAATATAAGCAAAATGTATTTTACTTCTTACATTATGAAACATGGGGTGAGCAAAAAAGGGGAAGACCCTCCACCAGATGCACTGACACATGGCTGCAATAACAGTCTCAGGTACAGCAAGGATTGCGAGGCTAGCACAGGTCAGGCCAGTGTTTTATTCTGTCGTACATAGGGTCCCTGAGCTGGAGATGACTCAGTAACATCTAACATTTCAAAAAATTTCAACTTTTATCAAAGCAGGAATAGTAAAATCAACCTCCATTATCCAGCTTCAACAATTATCAATTCATAAAGTAATACTGTTTCATCGAGAACTGCATTCCAGTATTTTGAAATTCTAGATTTATCATTCCATCCACATTCTTAAACAACTTAACCACTGTTATTGGATGTAAGGTATATAAAAGATGAAGTCAAGGGTGAATTTCTTTGCCCAAGAAACTGGAAGGTGGGCATTGCCATCAATTGAGTTGTAGAATCAGCAGGACACTGTATTAAGGAGCCCTGGTGGTATAGTGGTTAAGCACTCAGATGCCAATGAAAACATCAGCTATTTGAACCTACCACATGTGCTAGTCTGCTTCCATGATTACAGCCTTGGAAATTTTGGGGGTAGTTCTACTGCCTTATAGGGTTGCAATGAGTCTGAATCAACTATCAGATTAGGTTTTGTATATTGACTTAGAGATAGCTCATCAAACCAGTGCTTGTACCAAGAAGCTTGTACTGAGGAGAGAAGCTGGGAATAAGCATTTTAGTGGGAAACACAAATATGGTAGAAATCAGGCAAGATACAGCAGCATCATATGGTATTTAAACCAGAATACGTGCAATTAAAAGAGAATTTTAGAAACAATCAAGTTCTAGGGTATGGAAGTAAACTGGCCAAGTCTATATAGAGGGCATTACTGAGAGCACCTTGGATAACATCAATATTTGTCATCAATACAAATTAACTCCAACATCATTCTACTTCACAGCTGTTTTTCACAAAATTACTAATACAGACAAGTGACTTGAATATACCTTCCTCAGGATATCCCCAAAGATCTGTATCTAACGATGGACTAGCCACCACGTGTCCCTTATTCTCTTGCCCAAAAAACTAGATTCTATGCCGTTCTCCCATAAGTCTTACTAGAAAACAACTCATGCAGCATGGCTCCTTCTGTTACTGTGTTCTTTGCGCTAGTTTATTTCTGAATCGTTACTCTTCAATTAGTTGGAAAGCACCATCAGTTTGACTGAAGACTACAAATCTTCATTAGAATTTAGGATAGAGACAATTTTTAAAAAATAAGAAGACCCAAATGAATAAATGGATTTTATTGCATCAAAATTATCACCCATATTTCATAGGCATCATCTGGCCTTGTTTCCGTAGATGGACAACTCTTAGATCTTATTCATCAGCCTGCTGAACAGTTCCTTTTTCAGAGACATAGATACCATCCAAAAATTTCCGTATATCCTTGTTTTTAACTGTCGTGGCTTGCTGAATTAAAGCAGCTACAGGAGTGAAGCCCCCCAAAAATAAGATTATAAAAATTTAAGTATTTTACTAGATGGTTTACTTAAGACTTCATAATATTTTGAGGATAGCTTTTTATTTAATTTTGACAATTAAAAAGACCTAATGGATAAATGCTGTATGCTCAATTACAACATCTAGGCAGAATTTTGTAGGCATATTCAATTAAAAACATTTCCTGATAAACATACCAACCTGAATTTGATACAAGTTCAATGTCGTTTCCTTCAAGAATTAATTCATCTTTCTGGGCTTGAGATACTGAACAAGCAACACCTAAAAATAGGGAAGGCATTTGCATGGAGTCAACACAAAACAGATCTGTGTATCTATTCCATTCAAAATTCAGAGCAAATGAACAA